AGAAGCCGAGAGACAAGCAGAGAAGCCAATAGAAGAAGAGAGAACACGAGAAAAGACGGGAGAGCCCAGACAGAGTGAAGACTTGCTGGGGGCTGGGAGGCCTGCCAGCCTCCCGGCCCCCCAGCACCCCTGCCTGCTGTGTACCGGGTAAATCCCAATAAAAGCCTGCAAAAGCCACTGAGCACTCTGACTCCTCTTTTACCTGGTCTGCTGGATCAGAAAACCTGCACTGTGCTCATTCCTGCCCCTACAGAAGTCTATACCATTCTTCCTGGTATTTCTCTCATTCAAGTCAAAGAAAACAGCTCCTTCAGGGCACTGCCCAGATGGTGCAGAGCAGGTGTTCAACAAAAGTTGGCTGGCACAAGAAGACCAAAGCAACTACTCAGACTATTTTGTTTGCTAAAAAAAAAATGGAGAGGCAAGTACTCTCTTAAGCCCTTTTTCAGTTTTCCAGTTAACCATTTGCTGGGGATGCCACAGTTGGTTCTCCCACCCAAAAGCCAGTGACGAGTAATCTCGCAAATGAGTCACAAAGAACACATGCTCAAACCCTTCCTCTACCCATTGTGGCTGATGTTAACTAAGCAGCTAGAAAAATGGCACAATCTACATACTACCTCATTTAACTAAACAAAACTTACTTAAATTTTATTTATTGGAGGCCAAAACAAAACAGCAATTTTTTTTAAATCAAATAAAAAGCATTCTCATTAAAGACAACTTGGAAAAAAGACAAAACAATCAGGTAGGAAAACAGCCAAAAAAGTAGGTAACAATTAGCCATACGATGTACCACTCAAAACAGCACCTATGAATATTGTTTTATTTTCTTCCAGGTTTTTCCCCCAAGCAGGTTTTGTGTAATTATGATCACATGGCTTCTACCAGTCCTACGTGCAGCTGGTGTCATTTAAATTGTATCATATGCATTTCCCCATGTTTTTCTTCTTAGGCTTGTGTAACAGCAGAGTAGATGGTTGAAAGATTTTTAAATTAAACCAAGTCAAGAAATACTTAGCTTTCTCTTTCTTCCCCAGATATGTTGTAAACTGAGAACTTCCAAAAGTTCCTGGAGTCACTGGAACTAAATTATGATACATAAAAAATACCTAGACACACAGGAAGTGTTTAAGAAATGTCAACTGACTTTCAAGTGAAAGTAGAATATTTACTAAAGTCAGCTCTAGAAAGATACAAAAGAAATTATATTCAGCCTCTATTCCCAATAATTTTTTTATATCACTAAGAAGATAAAATGCATTTACACCCAACAATGAAAGTCCAACATAATTCAACATGCACTCATGCTGATTCTTCAAGGGCTGGAGATGTTTTATTCATTTTTTGTGCCCCTACCATGAAGAACAATTCTGGCACATTATAGATACTCAATAAACATGTGTTGTACTGAACTGAAGTACAGACTAAGAGCTATACTTCTTTAGAGGCAAGGATGATCATTGTGAGCTGTGGTTGGTAGGCAACGCAGGCAGCATTGGATATGGCAGAGTTTGATTTTGGAAGTAATCTGTAGAAAAAGCTGAACTGCAGAAGCTTTGGGATACTCTGAAAATGAAGGACATAAAGGAAAATGTTTATACAGTCCCAACTTATTTAAAAGTGTGATGTTTCTACACAAGTAGCATTGAAACCACTGCTGTGCACGTTAGCTGCTCATGGGAAACACAATCTATAACACATACTAGTGCTTTTAAAAAAGAACCAACACACAATACTACAGCATAGCTTGACATCACAAACAAGGGCTAATTCTCAGGAAGCTTTCTATGTGTCAGGACAACTGGCAAAGAGTGAATAAATTAAGGTTTTAGATCTCCATATAAAGTACCATAGCAGGTACTGTCCTTGCTAAACTAGGTGTAAAAGAATGTGCTGACCAAAACTTTCTTTTGGATTTCTTGCTACACCAGTGAAGCTATTTGCATGTACAGTTAAGCATTCAAAAGTAGACAGATTCAAAATCTGCATTCAGCTCTCACAATCTCACATTCACATCACCCGATTATAAACATATCTTACAAAAGAGAACCCAACTTCATACATATGGTATCATTCAGCTAACTCATACATTAACTTCATTCACACACATATTTTCCTTTCTTTTACCCCACTTGTGCTCTGAAAAATTCAAAGAACTTATGGGGAAGTAATTTTTCTCATATCACATCTCTAACAGCTGCTAGTTAAAGGTACTTAAATCCATAGCTTCTTCAATTACATTACAGGGGCATCCCAGAAAGCGTGCTTAATAAAAATCTGTTTTTTCAAAAGAAGTGATGTAAGCCTACCCTATTGGGCTGCCTTAAGAGCAAGAACTTAGAACTTGGGGTTAAGTGTATGTTAATTGTGTGAGAATATTTTATTGCAATTACGAGTAAGTACCTCTAATAGCTACTCACTCAATTTCCCTGGCCTGAAGGACTCAAGGACAAATGTCTACCAACAAGTCATTTTCGGAATGAACAGCTGATTTAAAGAATTGCATGCTTCAGAGGCAGGTGGTCTTGTTTTTCTAAAAACACACATACACACACGGCCTAATGATGATACTATCTGTGGGATAATGCAAAAGAACTAAAAGAACAGAAAAGAACAGGGTCATTCTTAAAAATAAAGTTGCAGGGATCCAAAGAAATGCAAGTGAACATTTATACTTTTTTTTTAAAAATTCCTTGGCAATTTTTACTTTCAGCTTTTGTTAAGCTTCAGCACAAACTGTCTTATCCCAAAGAATATAAACTGCTACCATTTTAATTCTAAATGAAGTACTTCTAAGACATCAAAGGATTTGGAGACTCAACAGTAATTACCACACAATCATTCAAAAGCAACATATGGCATAATACTATCACCAATTCAACAACAGTATGCACTATATACAAACTACATAGCTTTGAACATTTAACAATCTGGTTAAACTGATCTATAACTATACCGTCAGATGAAATAATACCAGCAATCCAACACAAGTGGTTGAAGCTTTCCAAATGTAAGACACATGGGATATCATCCAGAGTAAGTCACTAAATCTTTCTAAATCACTTGGTTCTTCATTCATTAAATGAGAAAAATAATAGTTGTAGCCCCCTAAACTTATCAGTACTAAATTACTACATATTAAATTCTTATAGTAGAGCCTAGCAAAGGGTGACTCGTGTTTATTTATACCAGAAACCAAAAATGTTTTACCAAGAATACTGAAAAGTAACACCAATTGAATAGTAATCATAAAAATAAGAGACACAGCTGTCAAGACCCATGGAAGAAACTTTAAGCAATTACAGTATGTTTAGTCTAAATAGAAAAAAAGGCTCCCTACTAAAATATAGTTACAATGTTTCAAAGTGGATTAAATCCACCTTTATTCTTTGTCATTAGTCCTATTTCGCAAAATGTAATTCTTCCTAAATTCTGTAGATAAATCCCATTCCTTAGTATCAAGAAAACTACAAAACTAGCCCCTCAAAGAGGGAAATCAAAGATCATGGATATATGAAGTTCAAGCATCTTCCAGTTTTTTTTTTTAACAAAACACCAAGTTGAAACTCATTCCTGAACTAAATTGCCAAATGTTTCTGCAATAAAAACTGCAAACTTTCATGTGAACAGATCTTTTCAACAATAGGGAGTTGTTCCAGTCTGTGAATAGGACAGTGTGAGCGTGACACAAAGCCAGGAGCTGGACATTCCTGACACCCTTGTTCCCTGGCTAGCCTTTCATCACGTCTCTCTCCCAAATGCCTGTTTGTGGAAATCACTCTCAGGCAGAGTATACAGGCAGCTATCCCCTGAAACTTATGCTGGTCACAGAGCCCTATTTCCACAGCTTCCGGCCCAGCCCTCACTTTTTACTACACCTTTACGAACATGCCACTAGAATGAGCATCAAACACAGGAGTGCTTTGTCTTCCTAAACCGTCCACCCCTAGTCAGCCACCTCGTGTTTCTGTTTGTCTTTTCTGCAAAACATCATAGAATGGTGGTGGCAACTAAGCCAAACCAGAAATTGACCTAAGAGCTGAAAAAGGAGCTGGGTGTAATGTGCTTTTGTAAATCTAAGTTCTGAGCCGTCTCTACTGCTTCATTAGAATTCAGCCTTGGAAACCCGAACTTGCCTAGGGGTCTTAGTTTTCTCACCAGAACATAGGCTAATAAAGCCCACCTTCTAAAATTGCTGTGAGGATTACAAGAAATAATGATTTCCAAGTGCCTAGTTCATACCCACTACACAGAAGTGATTTAGGTCTTCTGTCCAACAGCCTGGGACACACGTAATCTAATGAGAATTACAAATAGTGGGAAAGACTGAAAAAAAAAAACACTCCCAAGTTTGTCAGAGTCCTCAGCAAAAGGGCCCAGATGCTACTTCACAGTAAGGGTCTGCGGGGTTTCCTAGGCCGGGCTGGACACAAACAAGGTACTTGACTGAAATCTGCGCCGTTTTACTTCCACCAACGGAAAGTTGGGTTTGCCCATTTCTGTTCTTTTGTTTACAGCATGAGACAAATGAACAGCAGCTCCCCAGAGGGCTGCGACCAGAAGGCAGGTCAGGCCTCGCAGCTGTGCCTCTCCGGGACGGACAGGACCCCGCAGGGTGCACTTTCCAAGTACGGCGCTGGCTCCTCACTCTCTTCCAGCAAGTTCTGCGCCCACGCGAAGCTGCCCCGCGGTCCTTCCAACAGGCGGGCCCCCGCCCGGAGGGCCCACCGCCCACAGCAAGCCCACCGCCGGGAGATGCCGCCCGGGCCTCCCACCGGCCCCCGGCACCCCGAGGCCGCCCCCGGGGCCCCTCCCCAGGCCGGGACCCCGAGCTCCGCCAGGCGGCCCGAGAGCGCGCCACTCCTCCCGCCCGGATCCCCGAGTTCCCGGCGCCGGGTCCGCTATTCGCGCCTGGCCGGGCTCCACCCGCGGAGGGCCCGCTCGCCCCCATCGCCCCCAGGCCCTACTCCCCCGAAGACAGAAACTCCCTGACTCACTCCTGAACAGCAGCAGCAGGAAGAAGTCGGGCAGCCGGGCGCAGAGTCGGAGTCGCGGCCGTCGCCTCAGCGCCATGTCGAGGGGAGTGAGGGGCCGCGGGCGCGCGGCGCAGCTCGGCTTCTCCGCACGCATGCGCCCAACCTGCCGGGACCCTGCTTCCCGCCCCTGGTTTCCATAGTGACCACCAGGCCCGGCGGAGCCGTCTCCATGGTTACCAAGGAAGCTGATGTCTGGTTGCTATGGATGTAAGGATGCTCTAGACCTGGAGGTTCGGCATCTTTCAATGAACTTCGTGGAAAGAGGGCTTAAAAGCATGTTCAACAGTGGGGCGGGGTAAATTTCCACAGTTATTAAATAAATTAGTTACTACAGATCAGAGAAGGAACACTCAAAATTGGAGGAATGAAATGCTCTTTTTTTCTTTTTTTTATATTTTCTTTTTAAAAAGATTTATTTATTTATGCATACAAGAGCTGAGGTGCAGGGCCTCCCCAGGGGCGCAGCGGTTGAGTGCTGGGTTGCGAAGCTGCCCGCAGTCTCTGTAGTGCCGGGTTGCATCCCTGGCCTGCCGGAGAGGGTCCCACATGGCGCGCAGACTTCTCCTGTCTCACCCGTTGCTCCCCTCAGCAGTGTACTTCGTCAGTCTGCCTGCTCTGCTCTCCGCTCTGACTCTGGTGAGTTCTCTCACCCTCCCACGCTTCTAACTGTACCTAGTGCTTGTATAACTAAATAAATAAATCTTAAAAAAAAAGCTAAGGTGCAGGCCAGAGATACAAGAGATGAGAGGATTCACCAGAGACAGAGTGGGGAACAGAACAGGCAGATTGACCGAAGTTCTCTGCTGAGGGGAGCAGTGGGCGAGGCAGGAGAAGTCTGCTGTGTCATGTGGGTGTCTTCCCTGGCCGGCCAGGGATCGAACTCATGCTGCAGAGGCTGTGGATTGCTTCATAGTGCGGTGCTTAACCCCTTGCACCACCAGGGAGGCCCTACTCTTCTTTTTTTATGAATAAGGATGCAGTTTGGTTATTTTGGAAGCATTTTTTCCTGCACCTCTTTTGAGGCCCCAATTCCAAATGTGATGAAAAGGGAAAACACTGAAATCTATTTAAAACACAAGCAGGGCCTCCCTGGTGGCACAAGGGGTGAAGATGCAGCACTATGAAGCTATCTGCAGCCACTTCAGGAGTGGTTCAATCCCTGGTCAAAGAGGAGACCCACATGGCACAGCAGCCCTCTCCTGTTTCACCTGCTGCTCCCCTCAGCAGTGTATTTCAGTCACTCGGCCTGTTCTGCTCCCCCCTCTGTCTCTGGTGAATCCTCTCTCTCTCTCTCTCTCTCTCTCTCTCTCTCTCACACACACACACACACACACACACACCGCATCTCTGCCTGTACCCCAGCATAAATCTTCTTTAAAAATAAAAATAAAACACAAACAATACATTAATACATAAAAGGGATGTCTTCCTAAAATAAATATAATTGTTTCTGTAGTAGCTCAAAAGCATGGTGTTATACCCAATAGTTTATTCTGCTGAAAAAAACGGGTTAAGCCTTTGTTCTAATGTTTGAATATTGGGAAATTGTAAGACTAGAGAAGAAAAATGACAAGCAGGCAAAACAAAAAGGGAAAAAATGTATGGGAAATTGGGCCTAAGAATGCAGATTTTCATTGTCATTTAATACTGTGAAAAAAATCTTCAAATAGTTGGTATTATATCTGACAGAAAATACATCCCTTATGTTCCAGCAAACAACAGAGTAAAAACAGATCTGAATACAATTATAGTAAAATATGCCAATGCTTCCAATAACTAATTTTTTAATGTTTAACTTAAGGACTTTGTTTTTTCTATAGTCACCCAACTTTTTTGTATTTTTAGTTTTTACAAAATAGAAAAGAGTTCTTTTAAGATTCATTTATTTATGCATTCAAGAGCTGGGATGCAGACCAGAGGTGTGGGGGGCGGGTGAGAGGATTCACCAGAGACAGAGTGGGGAACAGAACAGGCAGAATGACTAAAATACACTGCTGAGGGGAGCAGCAGATGAGATAGAAGAGGTCTGCTGTGCCATGTGTGTCACCTCCCTGGCCAGGGATTGAACTCGTGCTGCAGTAGCTGCAGATTTTTTCACAGTGCTGCTTCTTAACCCCTTGCACCACCAGGAAGGCCCCACCACATGATCTTTTTTATTAGTTTTTATAATTGCTCAAACCTATGTAAGTGTGAATTAATTGCATTTCTAAAAACCTTAAAGCCAGAATAAAAATTTAAAAATAAGTCAGTCACCTGGTATGATTCTATATATCTTTCCTTTTCTAAATCTTCTTCTGTTCCAGTTCACCATGTTCCAAGTTGCAAGTAAAATTATGTGAAAACTACTGTCTGATAGTAAACTCTCTCCACAAACACAAAATAGAATTTAAAAGAGAAAAATTTTCAGGCTTACTAGCTTTTTTTTTCTTCTGTGCTTTTTGTTTTTTCTCTATAATTACCTTTAGTATGGTCATATGCCCATATGACCAGGAGCTTATTTGCCTAATTGAAGAAAGCATTTTGATTGCCTGAAAATATGTCTGACTATCAAGAGAATACAGTTTGCAGAAACCAGCATCTCACTTTTCCTACTGATTGCCTGTGCTTGCACTGTAAAATGATTCTGTCTGTTAAATGATCTTCTCTGCTAGGGAATCTTTCGAAACTTAGAATAAGGGAAAGCTGCCATGAATATTCTACATGGCACAGAGATGCTTATGAGAGTGGATGTGTAAAAGGAAGAGTGAGGAGCAACCTCTGAGCCAGTGGGTGGCACTCATAGCCAAGTAGGTGGTAGAAGGTGGAGCTTCCATATTCCACCCTCTGAGCAGAAGCAGATGGGATAAAGGAGTGGCACCAAGGCTTTTGGCAATTAAACCTCTAATGAAGTGGTGGCTGTGGAGATGCCACCAGTTTGCCATGTGTGGTTTTGGTTGGACCTTGGACTTTGCTCAATGGATGCTATCTAGGGTAGGACAGACAATTGTCCATGGGTCAGTCTATACGTTCTCTCTTTGTGTGTGTGTGTGTGTGTGTGTGTGTATACTTACACACTTACATCTCCCTTTTCTCACTCCCTGTATAAATAAATCATGTTATTTTGTTTCTTATGATGTCCCTGCTTTGGGGTTACATCCTGCATTTGTAGGCATGTGAGTAAAGACCCACCAATGGGTCAAACCAACCCCCCCAGGTTTGTTCCATCCCAGGTGCATGTTCTTCATTGTAAAACATTGGTTTTCTTGCACAAATTGAGTCCACATTCATGAGTGGTGGCTGAGACAGCTTTCTGGAATGGAAACCAACTAGTGATATACCAGGGGAGGGTAGGACACATTTGTCAAGTTGTCTGCTCCTCTTTGTGATTTCATTGTTCCTTGGAGATCTCTGGCCCTGTTCAGGAAGGAATCCGAGCTCTGGAAGCAATTGGTGAGGGAGTTGTGGAGTCTATGCTTCTATCACCCCAATATCCAACTGAATATGTATATTACTAATGTACAGATTACTAAAGAGATATACATTTCTTTTTTTTTTTTTTTAAGATTTATTTTTATTTATTTATTTATTTTATTTATACAAGCACTGGGTACAGTCAGAAGCGCGGGAGGGTGAGAGAATTCACCAGAGCCAGAGTGGGGAGCAGAGCAGGCAGAAGGACCGAAGTACACTGCTGAGGGGAGCAGCGGGCGGCAGGAGAGGTCTGCGCGCCATGTGGGACCCTCCTCTGGAGGCCGGGGAGCAACCGGGGATCGAACCGTCGCTGCAGAGGCTGCGGGCAGCTTCGCAACCCAGCGCTCAACCGCTGCGCCACGGGGGAGGCCCGATATACATTTCTTAAAAGAGCTTGTGCTTTTGCTAAACTTAAACAGAAGCATTTGTAATACTTTTCAATATCAACACAGTGCAAATCTAGTGGCAAACAAAAAGTGAGATTTTCCTGGGAGACTCTTATCTGAACAGACTGGAGAAATCCTGGAAGCAGCAGTCAGGGGAGGGGAAACATGGGCTTTGGAATGTGATAGACAAATTCTTGGGTTTTGTGAACTAGGGGAATATACTTTTCTAAGCCTTGGATTCTTTGGCTAAAAAAATAGGAATAAGAATGGTGATTGTGAGAGCAGGTGAGATATATTAGAATATCACAGGTGTTCAGTAAATGTCTATTTTTCCTACTGTTTTGATTCAAATCATGCCAAATGGTTACAATCTTCCTGAAAACTCTAGATAAAGAAGTAGACCTTCAACCTGCAAGCAGGGCAGAGGGAATGAGAAACAGAAGGAGTTTCTCATCAAGATGGGTTTATTTTCATGGTGTGTCCATAATCTTAAAAAGTAACATAACTATGGCCCCTGTTCCTTCACTATGTCATTCTCCACCAGAACAATAACCTGAAATCAACCCTCACACATGAGAGAAGTAAGATCCACTGAAGGAGGGAAGTCCATGTTCTCAAGTTCAGCCCATTCAAACATCCCTCTTTGGGCCTCCCTAGTGGCACAGGGGTTAAAATCAGTGCTAGCACACTATGCCAGCCACTGCAGCATGAATTCCATCCCCAGTCAGGGAGCTACCCACATGTCACAGCAGACCTCTCCTGTTTCGCCTGCTACTCTCCTCATCAGTGTATTTCAGTAGATGTGCCTGTTCTGCTCCCCAGTCTGTCTCTGGTGAATCCTCTCACATCCCCACCTCTGGTCTACACCCCAGTTCTTGTATGCATAAATAAATAAAAATAAATCTTTTTTAAAAATCCCTCTTCAGGGCTTAGCAAACATTCTATTGTTCCATGTATCTCCCTTCAACATTCCCAATCCTGTGCTCTCACATTTTACCCCAACTGTACCTCCTGGTTCCTCCTCTTCAAAGTATTCCTTGAATTTTATCTAAAAAGGAGGACACATGCCCACGTAAGGAAGCAGTAGTAGACAAAACCTCCATCCCTTCTGACATCCTTTATGTGAAGGGAAATGTATTTATTTGAAAAGGAACTGCTAAGCAAATAAATCTTTCCTGTTTCCTACTAAAGGGTTTTTGGCCTGTGTGCAGTAAATAATCCAATGCAATTGTAAAT